TCTCTCTCTCTCTCTCTCTCTCTCTCTCTCTCTCTCTCTCTCTCTCCCCCTCTCTCTCTCTCTCTCTCTCTCCGTCTCTCGCGTGCACGCGCGCGTCGGTAATTATTATTACGAGGGATAAGAAGAACGAGGCTCGACCGCACTACACGGAGAGAGAAACAGCGGGGATCGGTGCGTGGATCTCTTTTCGGTGCCTCTTTCCCTGTAATCAGCAGCGGACCCCGGACAGCCGATGCATGAAAGGGGCGCGAGATGCGAGTCGCGAAACGAGAAACAAAGAGGCTGCGATTCTCGGACGGACGGACGGTTTCCGATCAGAGGGACGCTTATGCGAGTATCTTTAATTGATTCTAAGAGCCGGTTCGTCGATCTTTCATACTCTATCTCTATATCTCTCCCTTTCCTTCTCTCTCAATGTTGACTAACAATAAGCACACAACACGCCGCGTATCTACGTTGTCCCAAATATAAAGTAAAATGTCCAATAACCAACATATTCGGTCTTTGTTTTCTGGATCTTATTAAATATTGAGGTATATTATGTGGATTAAAAACATGCTTAATAAATTTCTTTTACCTTAAAATTGATAGGGATTGATAAATTCCCATACATACCTTACAAAATATATCCACACAAAAAAACAATTATACTATTAACACTCAACTTACTTTTCTTCTTGAAGCAATGATTATCTTCTATAAATTATTACAAACACACACACATATTATATATTAATAAGGTGACCAGACGTTCCAATTTTTTCAGGACAGTCCCGATTTTTCACCCTTTGTCCAGAATTTTTTCGAGTGCTATTCAGGACACCGATTTGTCATCATTTTCAATGATTGTCAAATAATTTTTTAATCTTTTTATCCCCCTCCCCTTGCACGCTTCAGAGATTTATGTCCTGAATTTAGAGCTGGAAAATCTGATCACCTTACATAGGCTGCGTTCAGAAACGTCACCCAAGTATACCCGTTACGTTGGAGTGAGCGAGATACAAGAATGAGATAAAAAGAGAGGAAGAGTACTCGAGTGACGTTTCCGAACGCAGCTATATATATATATATATATATATATATATATATATATATATATATATATATATATATATATATATATATATATATATATATA